AGTAGAGATAGATGGGACATATGACCAAGACACTGTGGAGTGACATCACGCACCAGGCTAACTCTCCAAAGGCGACGCAAATATGAAACGAAGAGTTGGGTGTTTCTCAGAAAGTGACATGTAGAAGGAGGAGATGGTCATTTGTGGAGCCGAAAACACGGGGAAATGGAGATGTGCTGTTGCAGCCGTTTATTCCATTCGGAGGGCAAAAGATTACTATTAATAATGAATGGAAATCCTAATTCATAAGTAATTTGTTATGACCAAATACACTATGAAGATTAGGGAAAATATCAGCGAGAGAGAAGATTTCTGAATTTGTTTACATAACTAGCTTGGATCATCTCTCTATTTCTGTATTCACTTTACTAATAATCTTTCTATAAAAAGTATGTTAAGCTTATCAATTATATTAGTTAATTACTTTATGAATTATGTGACAGATAAAGCAACCGACTTCACCTTTGTAATAAGAGATTAGCAGATCAAGTAATAACAGTGATAGTAATAATAGTATTAATCCCTCTTTATTATAAACAGAATAACATTAAAATATTAATTCACGAAGCAAGCAGAATGAGTAATCTCCATAGATGAAAACCAAATATTCGCAGTGTAAAACGATATCATTCTATTTGAAAACATGTCCAGTGAAGAGACTCCTTTCCACGCATTTATCATTAAGCGGTACAATCGTATATATATTTTTTCCTTCACATTCCCCAATGGAACATAGGGCTTCAAGCTTGTGGCTTGAAGTTTCTGTAGCAGTGTTTATTTTACATGATGGGGTTGCTAGCCTCATGCCCAACCTTTCTTCTTCACCAGCATTATTTCTGGCTTAGCGAGGCAAAGGAGTGCATCGGCCAGGGATCGATACCCGGACCATGTGCATGGTCGGCGAGCGTCCTAACCGCTATGCCACCGACACACAATATATATATATAATGGTAGTAGTAGGAGATGCAATTAAAATATTTGTGATTCTAATCATGCTTATATATCAAGCGTTAAGTGACACAACAAATAATGTCGTACATTTATAGAAGATACGTAGACGACACTTTCGTTATCCTATGATAAGAACGTAATTCTTTTGATGTGGTTGTGTTCTCTGAGCTGGATAGTTCATTTGCAAATACACCTCAATTTGCTGGAGTGAGCTTTTAGATTTCTCCATGAGTTTACTAGTCATCTCTCCTGGTAACCTGACCTTGGACGTGATTGGTTGTTTTGTGTGTTTTCACACCCTCTAGACTACTTGTATTGAAACTGATTGTTTCCTAGAATTGAACTTTGACCCTTTGTGTGAGGTTTCCTTCTTATCGATTGATAAATTTTATCTATGTCAATGTGCCTACTGATTGACAATTCACTGGTATACCAGGCAGCCTTCTAAACATTCTCTAGCATTCTTGGTGTTTCCTTTGTCTAATATTTGAACGTTGGTTGTCCAAGTCGAATTGATGTCTGTGGTTGTCTGTATGTAGTGATATGAATGACGCAGTGGATGTCATGACTGTTGACGGCTAGTTTATGTCCATAGATATGAAGATGAAGGGGGCGTCCACTTTGGCCAATGTATTGTTTTTCTCAGTTGTTACAATTTGTTTTGTAGATGATGTTGGTTTTATCTTCTTTCGTTGTTGAGTCTTTTAGTTGACATAGAAGCGTGTGAAGCCTGGTATTCCAGTGAATCATCAATCAATAAACAGATGGAGATAGACAAAATTTACCAACCGATAAGAAAGAAACCTCACACACAAAGGTTCAAAGTTCAAGTCAAAGAAACAATCACTTCCAATACAAGTAGCCTTAAGTGGGTGTGAAAACACGCAAAAACAACCAATGACGTTCAAATTCAGGTCACTAGAAGAGATGAGTAATAAACTCGTGGAGAAATCTAAAAGCTCACTCCAGCAAATTGAAGTGTATGCGCTGAAGATGTTGCCTACTAGGGGGTGAGGGCAATGAAAGCTTCGCAAATTAACTATCCAGCTCAGAGAACACAACCACATCAAAATCATCCACCTGAGCTACAAATCTTCTTCATCATATCTAGACGTAATTCTTCATGATATCTCGTTTGCATTCAACAACTGTGATCCCTCTTTGCCTCAATTCACCATAGAAAAAGAATCTGAACTAAGCATTTCTTTTCTTCATGTGTGCCTTATTAGACGCAATGACGGATTTCTCCAAAGATTTGTCCACCGGAAAAGTACATGCAATCGACAACCAACTAATTTTCATAGTTGGCTGCCTACCTCCATGAAAAGGAACCTAATTCATTCACTCTGTTTTAGAATAATAAACATTTGTAATTTTGATTGCAATGACTCAAAACTTGACTTCCTAAAAGCCACACTGGCAGAAAACGGTTACCCAAACCAATTTATTGACAATAACACGAAATATAATCAGTTCAAACTGACTCTATTCCAAAGAAAACCGTATTCATGAATTTGGAATTCAAAGGAGGTCAGGCTTCAGAAATGCTGAGACGCCATCTCTTTAAATCAGTTAGTATGACGTTTTTTGCATCAAAATTAAGAATGACTTTCATCACGCATCTGAACCATAAGAATTACAATAATTAGTATATTACCACACCACATGCTATATAATCCAATACAAATTGGATAAGTACCATGCTGATGTCACCTGCAGCTGCGTTTACAAATTTTTCAGTTTTTTCTGAGCATATCTCAGTGAAACTTATGCCCGAAAAGGAAGCAGATATTCGTAAAGTGTGCAATAACCAAACATCTTGTGGCTACGGATCATTTCGTCAAGATTTCTAAATGCTTCAAATTACTAAACATACAAAGGACAACAAATTTACTATGATTTACCTTCCCCTTCTTGGAAACTTTGATATCTTGTTACTAACATCTGTTAGTTAATTGGTCTTGTGATGACTTTTAACCTATTAATTTTCATTCCCTCTATAACTAAAACTGATTAACTGAAATAACCACATGATTTGTAGAAAAGTTTGATGTAAAACAAACTATCGAGAAGACGGAGGTGATAAAGATAACCAACCAAAACCAACAACCAGCAACAAATTATCAACAATAGGAGAGATTTAACAGAGGCTACCTCCTTCACTTATCTAGGCAGCCAGCATCGTTTCAACTACAGGCAGCCGGAACAGATGACGATGTTAAAGTCAGAATTGGAAGGGCAAGATATGCCTTCATCAACCTAAAACCAGTGTGGAAATCTTCTGCACTCAGTCAGCATTTCCAACACAAATGTAAAGTCATTCAGTTCTTCTATACGGGTCAGAAACTTGCACCGCACACACGTCACGAAAAGGATTTCCAACAGGCCACTGCAAATTTTCATCAACAGCTGCCCACTTCTCTGGCTCCATAGTGAAAATCAAATGGCTGGTCAGAAAGAATTAGTAAGAAGAAACTCTGACAACTCTGGAAACTTACCAACCAAGAGCCGATTGCCCAAAAAATATGTAGGAGAAAATGGAAATGGATTGATCGGGCATACATTGAGGAAACCGTGGAATGAAATCGAGCACAATGCAGGCTATTGCTCGAGTGGAATCCCAATGGGAAGTGATGACTGGGTCGTCAGTGTGAGGGTGACATGGAGGAGATCGTGTGAAAGGGAAGAGGAGACGAGAGGTTATGAGCAATCATGGACCCAGCTGAAGAGGACTGCAGAAAAAAGAGCAAAGTGGAGATGTGTTGTTGAAGCTCTATGTTCCACTCGGAACCCAAGGGGATAATAATTATATAATAATCGTAATAATGTGTGGTATCTAAAGGTTTAGGTTCAGTAATCGTGCGAAGATTAAGTGATGCATTGAGGGTGTGTTGATCACGCATATTCACCTTTCGACATATTCCGGAACAATGGATATATTCACTGGCATCCAATAGTTACCATATATTTTGACCTTGAAGTTAGCATTGGATTCCGTCGATCGAAAGGTGTGTCTACTATGGCGAGATCTGGCCGTGAAGGGATTGCTGAGAAAAAATGCATCACATTAATCAAGCCATGCAATCTGCTGGAACTCATGCAGCTGTTCAAGAGCTTACTGAGGGTTGTCATCTTATCAAGTGATCAACAACCAGTGGTGTCTCTCACGTCAGCGATATTCACTATCCCCATTTCTTTTTAATTCCATTAGTCATCACAAATTTATACAATTATATTTACCACAATTATTATATAATAAATTATTGTAATAATAATTATAATAATAACTAAGTCAAAAGGAAAAATATAGAACTGTACAAATCAAAATATTATTGTTCAACGAATTGATCATTGAATGCCTATTTGAAAGATATACAAATTTATATACATTCTTTTTTAAATGTCATCGAAATAATATTGTATGCTCATATATGTAAATAAGTAGTATATGTACACGTAACAAAATTAAAAATAAACATCAAAGACAACACAACACAAATGTGTGCGTTTATTCTCTCTTCTTCTTCTTCTTTTTTTTTTCATTTTGAACGCAGTTCAATGTTTCAATTCATCCATCTCATTCATCGATTGTTTTAATCTCACTTAAAGAAAATCATAGTC